CACGAGGGTGCGGGGGGGGGGGAGGAAGAGTGGTGTTAATTAAATTTAATAATCCGACCTCTTGTGTCGCGCGAATCCTCGGAAATTCGCGAACCCTTCTTGTACTTCTCGCGCTCCCCCCTCCGCCCCCCCCGTCCCACTCCTTTCTCTTCGTCGATTCGTCCCGAACCAAACGCACCCTCGTTTCCGCTTTCCGGATGTGTGCCCACCCCCGTACCTTGTAAGTTAATTCGAGTCCTTATCTCGAGACAATGGGCGTCATCAATTCCGTCAAGTTCCTCAAGAATTTCGATTCGCTCTTGCGCGACGAGCAAAATTAATCCTTGGAACGCGCGGGCGTCGCTCGATTCACAGTTTCAAACCCGATATATCTTCGACGGTGAGATTTCTACGGGAATACACGCGAAACGGCTTCGATTTGAGCTCGTAATATAAAATAATATATATGAATAAAATGAAATACGAGTTATATGAAAGAGAGATGAGAGATCGAGACGAAAAAATAAGTGCGGGGGTGGGAAAATGGAAAATAGAGTGGATTATAAATCGTATAAATAAATAAAACTTTAATCTTTCATTTCATTTATAAATTTCCATCCTGCTCATCTTCCATTTTTCATCTCGTTCCTCGCTTTTTGCGCGAGATACGAGCTGAAAGCGTCACACATTTCCCGGAAATTGTCTCTCTTTATTAACTACAATTTTTTGGACTGTTAAAACTCGATTTTGAACGTCGGTTCCCTCCATTTCTGCTTACACAATTGATAAGATATTTTATTACAACAGTCACATCTCAATTTATCGAAATCTATCGTCTGCAATTCTCATTTCTCGAACGCGCGCTTCGAGTGTTCATTGACATTTAAACAGGATGGCCCATATAAACAGTTTAACCTTTTAAGCCGGCACTTTCTAACAAAATAACTTGTGAAAAATCTTACTTTCTAAGGGCTGTTGGGGTTACCGATTTTTGACTTCAGAATTCAAACATTCCAAGATATTTCTTGATATATAACTTAGTAACTAACTTGTATTATATAATATATTATATAATTGTTTATAAATATGTTTTGTTCCAGTCTGTTATTAACAGCCTGTTCTAATTGTTTGCGTAGCACTAATGAGCTCCAAATACAGCGGAACAGGAAACTAGATGTTATTTCGCAATAAAAATTCTCCGAAAAAGTTTTATAATAATCAGATTATTTTTAAAAATATGATCTCAAGAATTCCCTAAAACCGAGTTCCACGATAATCAGATTACTTTTTTTTAAATTCGGCCCGCCATATATTTAATCCGCCATTTTTAATTTTTTATTTTTAACTTCAGATTCCGGCAGAGCATTATCGAATTACTCCACAGGCCAAATTATATGAAAATCGAGCGAGTTTGAAAAATAAAAGGAGATGACTCCAAACGGCGTCGCCGGTTCTCAAAGAGTTAATATCTCAAGAACTGCGCAATCAATTTTAATTGTTTTTTGGTCTCAAATTTCTTAGGTTCCAAGAGAGTCTTTTATCTATGCCAAGACTGATCTCTGCCCGTCTTCCCTATGGGGCAGAGAGGGGATAAAGCAGGGGCAACTTTGAAATTTTACATGGGCGTCTATATAAAATCAGTGAATTCCGCAATCCACCGTTAAAAGGCAAGAAACTTCTACCTAAAACATTTTTTCTTGAAACCTTCAAAAATTACAAGTGTTTAAAGTACAAAAGAGACGACTTGATTAAATCGTGAACTGAAAATAAAATTAAACGAAATAATATTACAATTTAACTTAATAAATGCTCAACGTATGTATATTTATTTGTATAGAAATATTTGCTTATTCAAAGAATAAAATTGTTTTTTGAAATAATATTTCGGGTACATAACGGAAAATAATAATAATAAATCATTAAAAGTCAAATACTTGAATTAAATTTATTTGATATAAATATTTATTGCTTAAGGGCATAAAATACATTATTAAAAATTGACTCGGATCAATTAAAAAAAAAAAACATTTATGCCATTTCAACAATCAAACCTTCTATTGGTTAATTCATGAAAATTGTACAACGTTAAACTACAAAATAAAAAAGATAAATAAAAAGGAGACGAAAATCTGTAAAAGAAACAAGTTTTAACTCTTTTTTTTTTCAAAATTGGGCTTTTAATACCCACAAAAAAAAAAGAATGGCTTGTAACGTTCACTTTTCTCGGGATAATAAATTTCGGATAACGGAGTTCCGTTTCGCGCGCTCTCTGCTTTCGCGCTTATTTTTAAAGAAGACGCGCCCGCGCGCCTGAAGGGTTATTGTTAAGATAAATCTCACTCTGTCCCCTATCCCAGTCCTAGACTACCACCATCGGCCCTTCCCGGCTTAACTCAATTTCCCCCCTGGTGCCGACGCAGCGCGCGCTCGCGGACCACCGCGCGGCTCGCCGCTGCGCTGATGTAAAGTCTAGTTTACACGAACTACGGGCGGCGCGCGCGAAGAGCGAGATGTACCGAGGCAGCGAATCCGACCACTAATTAAGAGACGCGCCGCGGGTTCGTTCGTTCGCTCTCAGGGAATTCGGGGGTGCATCTCTCTTTCTCTCACTCACCTTGAGAGAGACAAATGCGCTCGTTTCGCGAGCAACGTATTCTTCGGGGAGTCCATTACGTTACCCCGACACCACACTCACGTACACACGTACCGCTGCGGGATGTTACAACGACGGATTCTTATTGTGTCTTGCGGATTCGAAAGACGGATCGCAAAACTCGTTTCCCGCCGAGACTGGATGTTGAATGTTTTTACATTTTTCGCAAGATCAGATGTTCCAGAGCAATTAATCTCAGCCTCTTATTTGTTTATCGTTTAACGCATCGAAGCTAAATATATATAAAAGTTTAGTTTAAAAAGAAAGATCTTCCTCAAGAATTTCGCAGCGTCGGACGGTCTAAACTAATATCATTATTATTCTTATTTATTTTCTTATATATTTATCGTTATAACATATGCACTTTCTCATGACATGAAATAATATAACACAAAATAATATAGAACATAATCCTTAATCAAAACAAAATACAATTCTTTTTTCGTTCCATTCAATTCCTATTTCTCTTTTTTTTAAGTGTTCATGATCGTCATGATCGTTAAATATTTCAATATCTGTAGATAAAAACAAATATCATTGCTACAGATTATATTCTCATCTTGTTTGTTTAAACTTCAGTGTTGAAAGCATCGAGGATATTTTAAAGAAGGAAAATTGTTCTCAAAAATTCTGACAACAGAGAGAGAATCTAATACATCACTTATTATACCTATAGATCAGTCTTATTCATTTACTGCTCAGCACATCGAACTAAATATAAACGATGTTTTATTTTAAGTAGAAAAATTGTTCTCAAAATATTCTAATCACCTCGTTTTATTTCTGTCTCAAAATTCCTTCTGAGACCCGCTATCTCTTGACAATTCTCTTAAAAATTTCTAGATCCGTTTACGCTTGCCGGATGCGTGCAAGATCCCGTCGAAGTAGCGAAGTTAAAACGCGCGGGATACAATTAAATTCGAAATCTCCGAACCGGCGGACGCTGAGTACCTCGCAGCGCTCTCGGCTCCGGCGAATCTCGCGAGGAATCGGGGAATACCGAGACGACGGGATAGAGTCGGAGCGGGATAGGATCGAGAGCGGACGGGGAGAGGAGGGAAGCTGTGGGACGCGACGCCTCGGAGTCTCTGCGGCCCGCGAGGATCCAATTATCCGGCGGAATAAAAATTGCACTCGACGGCGAATCGTCCGCGCGCTCTCGCACGCGTCGCATCTCCCGTGTACATACCTGATACATCCCGACCGAGCTAAATCACACGGGAGGGGGGGGGGAAGTATAATTTCGCTGTAATGCCGGTGCCGCGGCGCGTCGCAGACGGGCGGGGCGGGGGAGGAGGCTCATCGGCGACGTGTGTTGTCGAGAGTCGGTGGTTTCGCCGTGTTTACCGTGGCGATGCGCCGTGACGGCCGCATCGCTGGGAAAATTGAGTTACGGGGGAGGCAATAGAGTAGCTGCCGCGCGCGCGAGAGACACGACGACAACAAGGACGACGACGACGACGACGACGACGACGATGCAACGCGATACAGCGTCCGACGCAGCGGGTGAGGGAGGATGAGGAACCGGAAGAATGGGGAACGCGCTATACAGCTCCGAATGGTCCGAATATTCACGTTCGCGTGCGCGTTGCCTCGCGCGAGATATAGGCGCTCAGCCGCTGTACCTACCGTTGCCTTTAATACTTTTGTACATCCTGTACAAATCGAGGCACCGACATGCTTTTTCCGATCCCTGAATCCGCTTCCGATTGAAAATCCCTATAAAGTCTCGCAGTCTACCCTCGCGTTAGCTAGCTCTTTAAACAGAGATTCTTCGCTTGCTTCAGTTTATCGCAAATCATTCTTTTAACTTTATTATATTTAACTTTAGTATTTCCTTGCAAAACTTCTTTTAACTTAATTATTTTATTTTATGTTCAATAATTTTAATTTTAATACAGATTGAGCCATTTTTCCGATCCCTAAATTCATTGCCGATTAATCTCTAATCTTGTGCAGTTTATTTGTTTGTGTTACAGAGTTAGAGTTCCTTAAATAGATTCTTTTCTTATTTTATTATACATCTTCCTTTCAATTTTAATGTCTTTTTAATTATTTTAATATATTTCATCTTAATATAGCTAAATTAAAGCGTCAATATATATATCTGATTGTGAGCTGTAAATCCGTTTTCGACTGAAAATCTCCAAAGTATTAGAATTGATCTCTGCGTCATCTAGCTATCTTCCTCTATCTACCTTTTACCCTTCATCCAGCTCCTCGAGCAGTTCCCTTTCCCATTTTAATATATTATAAAAATATTGTAGGTATCTTATCTTCTTTTAATTTCAGAAAATTTTCATTATTTAAACACGTTCAACATAACTTCACCGGAGTGAAGATGCGCGCATAATTATTTTCGACTTACCGGGACACCCTGTGCTGCGCTATCCTGCCGTGGCTGGGCAGCGTCACGTTGCTGTCGCTCTTCGACCAGGTGACGGAGTTCTTGGCGTCGGGCAGATCGACCTTGCCCAGGTAAGCCTCGCAGAAAAGCCTCGCCGTGCCTCCCAGGGGCACCAACTGCGAGGTCGGTCTGTAAGTGGGCAAAGGTTTCCCCGTGTAGACCCCGGACTCCTCATCTGAAATTCAGATTATCGTGTTTCACGTTAGAATTTAGATTATCATGAGAGACACGGTCGTGTCTCGGTATAACATTTACGCGCTGGCACACGCGTGTGCGAAACAGATCGACATGCGTACGACACGGTCGCGTGTGTGTGCGCGTGTGTGTACACACTTATATAGCGTGCGCGTTACGTCTAGCTAATCCGCACGTTTGTTCGGAAATTTAATCGGCCGTCTTATCTTCGGCGGGGCCGATTAAAATAGCGCTCGCCCCTCCTCCCCCCCCCCTTCCCGTACCGATGATTAACGAGGCTCCTTAACGCTACGGGATATAATGAATCGTACTTAAAAAATGAAAATCACTTTAATATCGCCTCGCATTACCGCGGCGCGCCGCGCCGCATCGCCGCTGCCATGAATTACGAGTGGCCTGCATTACCATGATATACTCCCGCGCCATTTATTGTGCCGTCATCTCCCTTCTCGCCCCCTCCGCCCCGCGTGTTCATATTTAATGCGAAAACACTTTTCGGCAGTGTCCTTTCCATCTCGCTCCGAGGAGCTCGTAAAAGCCATCTATCTGCCATGCGAATCTTTGCGGATCCATGTAAACCATCGACTCGGGGGTCTATAATTATTTTGAAAGAATATTCCTCTCGTGTGCGCAGCACAAAATTGTCAACCTCTTCACAATTTCTAAATACTTAATGTCAAACGACAATTATTGACTGATAAAGCGTAAGTCTAAATTAACTCTTAAGCGGATATTTCAATTTAGATTAGAGTTCCAGAGAATGCAAGTGTCATTACTTCTCGCATCTCCTTAAAAATTCTTTGATTTGCATCAAACGGTAATTAAATATTTCGCTTTAGATTTTAATTAGTGGTAATAAGTTTCCCGGTGCTGTAAAAAGTATCGCTAAGTTTTATTACCTCCGTCAGAGATTGGTGAGAGACATTCGATTAATTAATTTAATTAGCTTCGATGCCATCAGGCGAGTGGAGGGAGGGGAAGAGACGGGCTCGATGTCCCTCTGAAACGCGCTGTAGAGTGCGGCATCGAAGTGCACGGGAGTGTGTAGACATCGAGGGGCATCGAATGAAAGAAGCCGTGCTCGCTGGCGGATAGTGGATGGCGGAAGGTCACAGGTCGTTGGGTCGGAACGGCGAGAGAGAGAGAGAGGAAATGGAGACAGTGCCGTTCAGGACGCCCGGATGGGTAATTCAATCAGCATTGATGCGCGAAAAACGTAAAATTAAACAACCGTCTATTAATCGAAAAGCGTGAGCGCGCGCGCGCGCATGTGAAAGAGCGCCCGCGGTGCACTTATATCGATTACCGTTGATTAAAATTGATGGACGGCGAGGTTGAACGATGGTCAACACTCGGCGCTCTGCCGTTCGAATTATTGCAACTTTGTTCGAATGTTTTGCATCTACTCTGTCTCCGCCCGGTGCAATATCGCGGAAGTGCGCCTAAATGCAGATGCGTGTTGTACGTTATATCCTGAAATTCACGGTTGAATATATCATTCACGGTAAGATCAATATCCACGCGCTGAATTCGCGTTTCGCGCCACTCAGAGATCTAAACGAAGAAGTTCGCCCGCGCGGATCAACTCTCGGGAGGTGTACTTTTTAATTATGCTTACCCATTTTGCGAGATAAATGAGTCTCCGAGCGGCGGCGAAGTCTTAATTTCAGTGATATTACCCTCCTCGCGTAAACTCGGAATAATGCATAAAGATGCATTCAGCTTGACGTCACACGATTTTTTTTTCCTCGATGCCATCAGCGTCATAACCAAGTAAACTCGGTGCAGTTGCGTCACGTTTATTTTTTTTTAATGCGATAGTCGTCGAAAATCCGAATTCCTATAACAACGGGAGGGCGCCAATCGCGAGGATCTATTCTCTTTCTCCGATCAAGACGTCAGAAATTTAAATTACGACGTTCAAACGGCTCTCATTGATTCATTTAACGTCCTCGATTTCGTCTTGATATTCCATTCTTCGCGCCTCCCGTTATTTGAGTATCCCGGGCACGAACAGGTGCACGAAGAAGTTTATCGACCTGGTTTCGAAAAAGCGCGGCGCATCCAAACTATCCGGCCGCGCGCGGCTTTAGTAATGCGTCTCCGCCGCATCCGGGCGACGCGGCACGCGGCACATCCGGCTGGCCGGATATTCCGGGTACAAACAAACTGCTAACTAACCCCTCCCGGACTGTCGGTATTATGATACATGGCGCGCCACTGCCCGCCGCCCGTTGCTCTAAACGCGCGTGTCCGCCAGCGACACGAGTGAGTTAGATTAGGTTAGAGTTAGGTCAGAGTAATGTTGTGATTTAGTGTTAGGTTAGGATTAACACGGTAATCCCGATATATCGGTGTATCCTGCAGTCACTTCTTCCGAATGTATTTGACAAATAATTAAAGAATGATTTAAGAACGTGGAATAAACTAGCAAATACGGATTATAACTGCAATGTTGCAGCGATATTATAACATTCCAGCTATATTGCAGAAATGTTACAATATTGCTGTAATGTAGCAGTTATATAATCTGTGTTTGCTGGGTAAGAATGATTCTTCTAGTAATCGGGAAGAAATAAATTTTAAAAACGAAATATGTATAGATATAATGATCTTGATTCCCATTTAAAATATAAAGATGTTGAAAAATCATCACAAGAAAAGTTCTTTCAAAGTTCGCTCAAAATCCTCTCTTTCTGTGATGTCAAAGTTTATATCTACATAAAATAAGATGCAGATAACTTGAGAGAGGCTTCATGGTTGCGTCGCCTAACTCTAACTTAGCCTTAAGCGTGAACGCAAAGTGAACGAGTTAACGTTTTCCTCAAAGAGTGGAAGACAAGTTCCATTAGTTTGGGAAGTGAAGGGGTGTTTGAATATGCTCGCCTAGGCTCGCAATTAATATCGTATAATCGAATCACGACGAGGACTTGAGCGCCGCTAAATTCGGCGAATTTGCCGTGAGCGCCTTCAAAGCGGCCGCCATTTTCCAGAGCTGATCCTCGCGGCGAGGCTGCTGTAACGATTTAATTACACCCCGCGGTAGGATAGGGTAATTTCGTGACAGGCTAGGCTAGGTTTACGCTCAGTTAGGTCTCGCCAAACCAAGGCGGAGGTCACGGGGGACACCATACATATATACATATATTCGCGATAGCGATTTCCAAGATGGCGGCGACTCGCTGGCTCGTCATAGCGACCGGGCAAGACTATTAATCTCGTAAAGCTCTTGCAGCTTTATGTCCCCGTCGATATTTATCGGAAACCGGCCAATTTGTGCTTGCCTAACGGCCTCGTCGTCGTTCGCGCAAGCCTCTCTATAGTTCCATTAGGTCATCCAGATAAAATATTGACGGAACCTGACCTGATCGATACGCTGCGTCTTAGAAACATGATAAATTGGCTGACGTTAAATAACGCAGCTGATAATCACGGAGTTACTCAAAATAAAGTACTTAAAGTAAATTGGGTTAACGATGTTTGATATGTAGATGCGATAAGAAGCTTCTTCAATTTTAAACAAATCTTAAAAGATTTTATTAGATTTTAAAAAATTTTATCAACTTGTGTTTTAAAGATATATACAGGATGTCCCGAAATTCGCGAATCAAAATATCACAGCAAGAAAGTCTTCGAAAAATTAAATATTTGCTAAAAGAATTATCCAATGCGATCGTATACTGAATAATCGAAAATCAATGTGTTCTTATAAAATGTGATCGAATTAGTACAGTAATGAGCTATATAAAGCTCAATAATCTATCGCAGCAGCTGCTACGTATATCAGAGAAGTAATTTCATTTCAGCGCAAGATTTTGGATGAATAAAATATCTAAGACCCTTTGAATACTCGGCAGTAACTGAAATATTACTGAACGCAAGCAAGTGTGTTTAAAGTAACGTCACCGAAATACCGCTGCTTAAAGATTAAAACAGATTAAAACATTTCTATCGATAATCTGTATAAACTCAAAAGTCGTAAATAGAAATTATGCTCACAGCAAATTACTTTCAATATGCATGCATCTATTTCACACAAGACAAAAGTTCAGAGTTAGAAAAAATTGTAACAACTTGGTATTATTATTTTAATTTATTTGGTATTTTAATAAAATATAGGGAAAATTGATCCTGAAAAAATTGATAATTTATCAATATCATTTTCAATAGATAGATTTTTATTAAGATAATTTTAATTTTTTCTACAATTATATATTTTCTTGTGCCACTCTGTCTCTTCGATTTGTTTCACCTTCTTTTATCTTAGCAATGACGTACAATAGCAATAAAGATTATATTATTATCATGTCAAATAGGTATTTTTTTTCACTTATTTTCTTTAAAGTGATATAATTACGTTTTTACCATTTTCTTTCCGCGGCTCCAGCTGCTCCGAACCTCCCCTCCCCCGAACGCGTTTGCGTTTTAGAGCTATGACGTCTCTATACCACCTGGCTAGACGCTATATCTGTCGCTACCTACGTGAGCGTGTCTTAAATGTGAACGAGCCCGGCGGACCAGAGCGCGGGTGCACGAGCGCGAAATTAACGCAAGGCGAACGGTTCGCGTTCTGCACGGAGAAACGACGTAACGATCCACGTAACTGCGGACCGATAATCGAATGCAGACGGCTTGATTAAATCACTCTCTTCGCGTCCCTACGCCATCGGCACGAAGCTAACCCACCCCATCTCTCTTGCCTCCTCCTTTCTGTCTCTTTCTCTCCCTCCCTCCCCCCCCCTCTCTCTCTCTTTCTCTCCTTCCTCCTATTAGCTATTTCAGCCTCTCTGTTTCTTCTCCGGGCACGTTTACGTAACTTTACGTAGGTATCGCGTGTATGTACATAAGTAGCATGCGTCTCGCAGAGAGAAGCACAGATTGTATCCTTTCATCTGTTGGAAAAGGGGGAGGGAGAGAAACGAAATGATACGCGAACCGAGATTATCGAAAATTAAGGATCGTGGAAGAATGATAACGCGA